CTACAACCCAGGCATACGCCACAAGACCCTGATAGAGAATAAGCCCCCGTGAGTTGCAGTAGGACCATGACAAAAGCAGCACTTCACGATGCAGTGACGTGGGTTTTCGCTCTCTTCTTCGCTCGTGCGAGTCATGCGCTGACATGCTCGTTAACGTTTACGGCGTAGTTGGACCACGGCGCGTACTCGGCCGTGGGTTAAAGTCCACTTTTTGGGGTTTATCTGTGGTTTAAAGGGGGGGGATAAGAACGTCATTCGTCTTGCGCCTATGCCCAAAACCCTGGCATTTACAGCGTTTTCATCCCTTTGTACAGCATACTGCGCAAGGATGTGGAACAAGACACATTGTCGCCAGCGTCCATGCCTTTGGTGACCATGCCCAAAGCACTGGCATGTACAGCGTTTTCATCACTTTGTACAACAGACTGCGCAAGGATGTAGAACAAGACACGCTGTCGCAAGCGTCCATGCTTTTGGCGACCATGCCCAAAACACTGGTATTTACAGCGATTTCCGATTCTGAGTTTAGCGACCTGCTGAAAGAAAACCTTAAGGTTCTTGATCCTTCACATTCACACATGAGTCATGAAGCTCATAAGTATGAATCTTGTGCGAATTCCCAAGTAGTTTTCGCGGGATTTTCAACACATTTTTTTGAGCTTTTTTACACCTGAAGGACGAATATATTGTAAAAACCAATACGCCGTGCACTTCCCCTCGATCTGAGCATGTCTCTGAACAGCCACGGCCGCGTACGCGCCGTGGACCGCGTAGTTTCCACCACCAAGTGTGGCTGCCTGCGACCTTTTCGAACGAGGCGTGCTTCCCCGGCAAGGATACCCTTCCTCCTCGGGGTCGCTGCAAGGTTGCAGAGTCAAGGGGCTGCTCTTCCTGAGCTCGAACACACTCCAGGATGGTTCGGAATCCAGGCACCTCCATGAGCAGAATGCTAAAGCCAATCGAGCACGATGCTCGTGTTCCATTGCCCAGGCATCGCCCCGACACCTTGCCGACGAAAAGCAATAGGGCAGCGTCCCGCCGTTGCCCTGACCTGTAAGCTGGAAAGACTGGGCCAGGTCAATCCGAACAGACCATGCCAGTGATACAAATGATGCCTGCCAGACTCGAGCATGCTCTGGAGCTGGTGCTGCGCGGCTGGCGAAGGGAATCGGCCGTGCTCTCTGCAGAGACGCGTGAAAGATTGCCAGAGAGGCTCTGGGCGAAGTCCAACGCGGCCAAGGAGCACAGGACGTCACGAGCAGATGCAACCGTACGTAGAAGACATCCCGAACGAAAGGAGTCAGGACTAAATTGCAGTAGTGTGAATACGTGCGCGAAACAAAGGAGCAGGCGGCCGAAAAAGAGATGATCAACGCCCTGTGAAAATAGGCACACCTGCCATGTTCGTATCCCACGATAACAAAACTCATTACTCTGAAAACTCATTGGCTCCGCCAAAGAGCACCACGGCCCGACTTTTCACAATCAACAAGCCCTTTCGTACTTGCTGCTCGACCTGGGTGGGGAACAACCGCAAGGGCCTCAAACGATAATTTAACAGAAACAAACAGGCGGAGCAGTCAGAGCTGCTCCCAACGATTGCGGTCAAGCCCCTTAAGCTCTGAGCGTCAGGTCTCCGCTGCAAGCTACCAACTCTCTACAAGTACAAACATAAACAACAGAATCCAACCGACAAGGACAGCGTTTTGTGACGTTAACCATCTACCAGACACAAGCCGAAACATATTTCCAGGAAGACAATGCCACATTCCACAGCCTTCGGGCATACGCATCGTCGTCATTCTTCGCATCTCTCCGCATTGTCGAACATTTGCCCAAAGCTCGGAACCGCGTGCCAAAACCAAGCCGAAGCAACGTGACGACAGTCGCAGGGATGGCGGCCCTGCGCGAGACATCTCCATCACTGTTAGCACTTTCAGTGTACCAACGCAAGCCGAAAGCTGCACAACTGCCATCATTTCACAATGGCAAGCCGAAGCTGATAAAGTAACGACAGTCATGCGAATGGCGACCCCCACGCGTGAAGACCCTCACAAGGAAGGCGGCCTTCACACGCACGCCATGTATGCGGCATGCATGTGACTGTCAGCACTTTTGGCAGTTGAAGCTCAACAAAACACCGACGAACGCTTGGCTGATTCGGGTCAAGTTACAGCACCCCCAACGAGCAAAACGAGAGAATTTTCTTCGGCATGCAGTCGGGATCAAGATCTCATGCCGATCCCCCATCCCCCGTCCCTCAACAAACATGGTGCAGTGCCAGACTCTAAGGGCTTCTTTTGAAAATCTCCTCGAATCGGCCTCTGCAGCCAGTCGGGCAGCTCGGCCAATCTGCTTCGGAGAAGAGCTTGTGGCAGCCGCCTCTGCCGCCTGTGCAAAGAACCACACCGGGGCAGCCCTTGTTTGTTCTTCTTTTCTTTGCATCTTCGGCATTTGCTCTGCAGATTCTTCGGCTCTTGGCACATAAACTGTGCCTTCGGGCAAGCGAGCGTGGCCGCGAGCAGGGCAGCAGCCTGCAAAGGCTCTGACGGAAGAGCGTGCACAAAGTTATAAAGGAATCGCCTTGCAGCCTTTGCCTTTGATGTGATTGGTTGAGGCGATGCTTCGGACCGTGCAATGTCGGCCATATCGTGCCTGGTCGCTGAGTCCAGCAGTGAGTGCTGCTTCCTTGCAGTGTTTGGCCTCGGCATTCGACGGAGAGAACGTTAGCTTTTCCGCACAGTATTTTCTTTCGGGGCATTCCCCTCCACTTCTCGGCCGTTGTGCAGGCCCAGGACCAAGGGCTAATAAGAAGCTAATCGCCAAGAAACCTTTTTCGTGTCTTGTCCCTTGTTTGCGGTACATTGGGAGCTGGACGCATGGGGCCGTTAATCGCTTGTAAAGCTCGGACAAGTGCCCCCTTGTTCGTCTTTTCAAGGGCGTTTCAGCTACAATACCCTGCCCCAGAAGCCTCCTGCATGACCCCCAGGCTTTGGAAGAGCTTCTGGCACCTTCTGTTCATTCCCTGTTTCTGCCTAAAAAATGGTCTGGGCCATCGCGGAATCTTGACGGAGATTCTCCGATGCCATGTGTTGGCTGTTGGACTTCACCTGCGTGGTGGACGGACAGACGTCTTCAAGGCTAGGCTACTGCGCTTTGCGGCTTCTGACGCTGTGGGATGATGCCGGTGCCTTTTCCCCCAGCTTGTGTGGATGTCTTCCCGGGGGCTGTACCGGGTGAGAACATATGAGAACCGTCAATATCTGCAGTACCCGCGCCGAGCTTGCCATCATTCGGCGATCTCCATTCCAGCTGAGAGCCGAGGTGCAATTTGAGCGGGAGTGCAGCCATCATGTCTGGCCTGCCGCCATCAAATATATGGGGCTGACGATTAGATCTGACGTTCTTTGGCGGGCAAGCGCAGCTGATCACATCGCCTGCTCAAGCACGGACTGCACCATCGCTTCAGCTGCCAGCCTACCAACAAAGAAACTGGTAGAGGTCTCCTCTTAGGCGCTGTCGCTTTGTCAAGAGCCTGGAAGCACTCTCCCCATGAATGCCAGCGCTCTGAACCGAAGACAATGTGGCGCTCCCGGCTTGATCCTCCCGCAAGGGACCAACGGATGCTGAAAGGATGCCTGGAGGCACTTTTTGAAGCTTTGAAGCCCGAGGCTGCTGCAATGGTTTTGCCCAAATCCAGCGCCTCTCGCAGGGAAGGGCTGAGCTTTGACTCCTTTGACTGAACTTCTAGGTGCTCTCTTCTTGCACTCTTCGACTCTTCTTTCGACAGAACTCCACACTGTCGAAGCGCCGGCCTGCTTACTTGCCGCACGAGCCGCACCCCATGCAGCAATGCCATGAACCTTCAAAGGAATCAGAAAAGTATGGAACAACATTTTCGCAGAGGTTCGATTCCCTCATGGCACAGCTTTGCCCTGCATGTTGTGTAGGCTACACATGTGATGCTGAAGCCCAGGGGTCCACCTCGGCGGGCGGTGCACCAGCGGCCCGTGCAGATGCCAGGGCTGCTCGGGCCACTTCCTGCCAGCTCCCAACCGTTTAACCCGTTTAACCCATGTGTAAAGCTGTCGTGGACAGTTGTCACGGTAGCTGCAGTCTTTCTTTTGTTGAGCTCGATCCCATTTGAAAACCCTAGGTCGTATTTCCCCGTCCTCTTGTCCTCTTTGCAGGGCAAAGTTTGACGAAGTCTCGATCTCCCGGCCCCTATGCTGAAACGCAACTCGCACATAGACTTCTTTCTTCTTCCCCTTGGTTCCCATCCGTGGTGGTTTGTTGGCCCTTCCCCTCCCCAGCCCCAGGTCCCTCTCTCTCTTCGAGAAAGTCGAGAGTAAAACTGTAGAGAAAAGAGAGGTCATCCTTCGAAAATAGAGCCCTTCCCCCCCCTCCCCCTCCCAAAATCAAATCGCAGACAAACAAAATCGCGAAAACACACACCACACCACCCCCCCCCCCGCCCCTCGGAGACATACCTCATCTACGCCGAAACTACGGGCGATCGTCCCTGGTGAACTGAGAGTCGTGGGGCTGAGTATTTCTATCCATGTGTTGGAAGCCTGCGGTGAGGCTCCGCGCTCTGCGGCCTCCGCTGCTACCGCAGCCTCAGGACACTCGTGGCGAATGCGGCGACGTGTGGCGATGCCCTGAGACTCGGAGTTTGTACAGTTTGCGCCAAGTAACCGCGGAAGCGTGGCTCGCAATCCATGCGGCTTCTTCGCCTTGACACCCAGCGGCAAGCACTCCTTGCAGGCAGCGGTCAGCAGGTCAGTGCTGCGTGTCAAGCGCTGCTTCTTGACATGTCCCTCTTGCTGCATCTCCCTGATGCGCCTTGCAAGGCATGTTGGGCAACGACTTGCTGAGCAAGCGGTTGCAAGCTCATCACCTTTGCCTGTGGCGAAAGAACAGGGTGGCCTCCTGCATGGAAGTATTGGGCAGCGTCTTTTTCGCCAAGATGCAAGAACGAACGGCTCTAAAGGGTGAAATTACACGGCAACAGCTACACCCCACTCACTTTCGATTGGAAGAGGGCGCATCTTTTCCCAGGTTCCGGTTGCTCCGCACGCTCCGCTGTTGAATCGCTCCTCAGCGATATCATATTCTGGCATCTCACTCGTTGATCTTAGCCCATCATGAACGCCACCCCCCCCTAACTCCCTGCCCCACTTTTTTTGGCTGCAAGCTAGTGATAGTCGGCTGCTGGCACATTGTCGGGAGCTGTCCCTAAGCTTACACAGAAGGTTATGGTCGCAACAGTTCCCGAAATTGTGAATCGTCCGGATACCAGTTGCTGACCTGTGCATCGAGGCAGTGTTTCGGGGGAATGGGTTGGGGAAATACTTAGTAACACAGTAGACTGGCAGCCGCGCATCCACAGCAGCGGTGGAGGCATTGCCGTCGAACCCTCCAAGGACATACCTCAGCCAGCCAGCTGACATCACTGACGTCACAAAAGGGGCGCTCAGGAAACAGTAGCCGAGCCCTCAAGATTTCGCACCACAACTCGGTCCAGTCTCGGCTATGGTGCACGGAGTCTCCCGCACGGACCGCGGCCAAGTGCTTTCGCGGAGTTGTCAAGCTGGGAAGCACCTCCCAAGACTCCTCACACGTGCGGAGCAACGACAGTAGCGAGACCTACTGCTCCTTGGTGGCCCAAGTGCTCGAGGGTGTGAGGTCGTTCCCATGTGAGTATGATTCAAAAGCAAATGTTCGTGGAAGATTCTGTGCCAGACTGCAAGATCGCTGATGTGCCCACAAGCTTCCAGATTTCGTTGCTCGCTCGCGCACACGGGCAAACAAGAACTTTAGGATTCTATAGCTTGAAGGCTGCAACATACCAGTTCCAAATCTGAACCAACGGCGGTGACCACACCCTATGCCTCTTTGCCCCATTTATCACGCTAAGGTGCCAAGGCTTACTTGTGAAAGATAGCGGCCTTCGATGTTGCTTTCTGTGCTCCACACGGACTGCCGAAGCGAGTGGGGCAATGGACAAGACCACGAGGACACGAGCACGAGGACGGCGAAGGCGTGATTGGCCCCTATTTAGCCACAGTCCTCGCTCGGGCTGAACCGCTCCACAATGTCCAGTGGAGAGCCTCCATTGAAACCTGGACGCCGCTTGTTACAAGAACAAAAAACAAGACCACATTTTGGTGCGCGTGCGAAGATCGCTTCAGCGGTGCGTGCTGGGAGGCAAAAAATTCCGAGCATGCAGAATAACTCCGGCTCGTGACCTGCATATGTTCCTCCCCAAGCTTGGCGCGCTTTATGTTTTTGCACGTTGATGATTGTACATGGCATAACGGGGCCTCTACCACAGCTTGGATGGCTCTTGGGCATGTCAAGTAAAAGAGATTCTTCGCGCACTCTCGCAGCCCACCGGGGCGCCTCCACAAACGTAGATCCTGCCGTGGAGGGTCACCGCTGCGGCACTCCTGGACCATCCAGATAGTGCAGTGCGTCCGAGCCATAGGTCTCAAAAAGAACAACTTGAAGGAAGAATCGCGTATGGGATCATGACAAGGGCTGCAAGGATTTGGAAGTGGATTGCGAGATCTCTTCAACTGCTTCATCTCACTGTTCGGCTTCATCTCACTGGTGCAGCTTTCAGTATTCAGCAAGATTCAGTCTCTGACTTTGCTTGCAGGCTTCTGTTGCCCGTGGAGGCGTGACCACGTGTTCATCAGTTCTCTCCAGACTTCTCTCCAGACATAGTTCCCAGTGCCCTTTGACCTTTGGGACGCAGTTGCTGTACGTAAAGCCGTTTAAACAAGCCAGAATGCTGCACCATAGCTGCTGAATTGGCTTTCGGAGCTTCAGTCAATTCTTAAATATCCTTGCAGCCCCTTTCATGATCCAATATGCCATTTAGAGTACTTTAGCTAGCCGCCGACTAGCCCACACCCTGCACTGTTCCGCACATGCTGCTTCTCCAGCGTGCAACAGTCGGTGATGGCAGGGCCCTCCAAGCTCTCGCACACGGATCCAAGCGTTCGCAGCACCGCAACACCAGGCCGCCTCAACACTCCAGGTTTTCATGCAACGGTGCCAGAGGTTCTGAATGATCCCTGCGCGAGGTGCGCATTCACATTCTCGCTACAGCTCTGGAGCACTGGGACATGCAAATCCTCAGCCCAGTCGCGTGAGAATCCCCCAATTGTGTACAGCGCACCCCCGGTGACGACAGCGCTGCAGCCGAAACGAGGGAGCGGAAGATTGAGCACAGACTCCCAGCCTGCTGGTGCACTTTGATCGAAGGCTTCGTGAAGGCTTTGTGCACTCTCGTTTCGCCTTGCCTACGCCATCGCAGCGCTCGCACCTTCGTGGAGAGCAAAGGCGAAGAACAAAAAAATATAAAATACAACTCACAAGTCACTGGGATCTGTTTCGTCCAAGTGTCAAATCCTGTTCACGCCCGCAGCTTGTCCCGCCAACAATGTAGATGCGCCCGTCAAGAGCAGCGGCCGAAAACCTTGTTGAACAACAGCGCTCTGACAGCATTGAGGCTTAACAAGTCTTTAGACACCCACTTTGACTTTGACAAGTGACAGAGATCTGGGACTTGTGAGCTTAAGCTCTGGTGGCCTCCGCCATGTTGACTGAGCGGGTTGGAAGCAGTCGACCACGTCCTCATGCATTTTCCAGCTCCCGCGGTCTACAAACACCTGTCTTGCACAAGGCCGCCATACATGAGACTTGTATTATGGCACCTCCACGAGCACTTCTTCATGTCTCAAGTTGTCTCAAGGCGCCAAGTCTTGGCCGTCCGAGTAGCCGCCCATGACCAGAATCTCTTGTTCCAGCACAGCTGCAGCGGCTGCCCAACGTGCTCCCGGAAGCTGCGAGACTTGCTGCCAGGCCTACCAGCATGGGTGACGGATGGAAAGCACAACTTGCAACACAGCCTCCGCACGCATGCTGCGTGCCAGTTTGCAAATCCTGGCCTCTCCATTCACGTGCATCCCTTATTGGCGAAAGGCACTCGGTGCCCGGCTACACAACAAGGCAAGTGCTGTCCAGGTCACGCTGGACGTGATCTTGGGCCGTGTGGACTTCCATCAGCATTCGCCCTCCGATGTAAAATATCTCCAGCATCGAGAGGCGCACCCGGTCTCTCTGAAGATGCGGCTGAAGTCCTCTGCCCAACGAGATGGAGTACAGGGATCACATGCACTTTAGTGCCCTGGAAGGGGATGGTTGTGATGGGCAGATGGTCATATGCATATAACAGCAGAAGAGTTGGATGCCGCAAACAGCATAGCGTCACTACGATCCCTCCAACCTTTTGCAGCCTCCCCCCTCCTTTTCTCCGATGTCAGTGGTGGGGCTGGTGGAGGTTTGGGCCGAGCGGCCTGTGCTCTGGGTGGGTGTGGCTGTCAATCCGGAACTGCGCTTGGTGCTTGCCCCCTTCTCAACTGTCTGCTTGTCAGCCCGTTCCTGCTGGCTTCGCTCATGAACCTCCAGTTTAGCAACACTGAGGTTTCGTAAGCTTGAAAGGCTTTCTGCATGTGGTTGTCGTGACCGCCGTGCTCACGTGGCTTGGCGGGGACGATGCCGGCAGGGTCCCTCTTCTGCCCTGTCGATGCTGCATTGCGAGCAGATTGCTGTCTTGGGGTCTTGTGTTGCCATACTCATCAGCATCGCTGGAGTGGTCGCCCCGGATTGGGAGTGGCCATTTCATGTTGCTCTACGTGGGTGCGTCGTGACTCTCCTGAATCGCTGAACCGAGATCCATTCCTGTGCTGGTCGGGACAGTTGGCATTCGGACGGCTGTTTTGATCTCGTCCACGCAGATTTTGGCCCGCTTCGCCAGGTACATCCGGTCCGGAGCTGGCCCCGGGGTGCTGGTTGAATCGGGTTCTCATTGCTGCTGGCAGGTTGCGTTGCTATCGTTCTCTCGGCGTGGTGCTTGCTCCAAGCTGGAGCAGGTCGTGCGGCGTAGTGTTCTCGCTGTTTGTCCCTTCCTTGCTTCCTTCCATAATCGCCCTGCCAGGGCCACCCCTCCCTCTCTCTAACACGACAGCGAATGGACGAAACCTTCAACAAACGAACACGCTGTCTGATCCGTCGGCCATGGTACAGTACAGTCACTACAGATTGCTGGAGGCCTGCTCCACACCGTGAAACTAACTGGAAGCCCTACGCCGTGTACTTGCATGTGTTGCTTTGTTGCCCAAGCACTGGTCCTTCGGCCCAGCTGCGACTGCTCGAAGCCAGCCGGCCAGCCGCAACCTGCCCAGAGACTCGCAAGATCTCCTGGGGGAGGCATTAGCTTCTGAATCCAATCTGACAGATCCAATGCCTAGACGAATCCCAATGCCACGGGAAAAACGGAAAGGGTCCTGTGGGAGGTCGTGAAACTGTGCCAGGCCCGTCAAGTTGGCCAAGGTCCTGAATGCTACAAGCACCGCACGAGGATGTTCCTTTGAAAGGGTCCGCTACTGCGAACCAAGGCACGGCTTCGATGCTGACTCTTGGGACTCAATGGATCTCTGGCCCCATTGGCAAGAGGACCGTAGGCCGTATCTGAATAGGAGCAGCAGCCTGGGCTTCTGATGGCTTCTTGCTGATTGCATTTCTAACCGCGACACCTGCACATGCAGATGGGGAGAGTCGCCGGGAAAGTCACTGCACCAAGCGGCGCGAATGGAAGCCACGGGCATGTCCAGCTGAAAAGCCCTTCCTTGCCCGATCTCCTTGTTGATGCCAGCCATCGCACAAGACCAGGCCAGTTGAGGAAGGGCGAATTGGGAGCTTCGAGAGTGTCCAGATGCATGAAGTAGCACGTGGCCTTCTGGAGCAATAAGTGATGACCATGGCGCACGATAGCGTGATGGAACACACTGGCGCTGGCTAAATATCCTCTTTAACCACAACTCAGAACCCAAAGTTGCAATATGTATTTCAGTGCATGACTCAGCATATTACTTAGAGCTGTGACTCTGGGAGCCTGCTCTGAGCTGTGGCTGTGAACTTTTGAACGAGAGCACTGAAGCCCAGAGCCAGAGTCGTCTACTGTAGATCCCTCAAATGCTCAGATTGCACAAGTGTCTGCAAGTGGTGCATTTCTCCGGTGCTGGGGCTGTTCGAGGGTGTGGTGGACAAGTTTTAAGCTGTCTTTGGCATGCTTCAAAACGTTCCCTGCACTTTGCCTCCCGGCTTGCTAGTTCTTCTGCTAGCTGTGTGGCGACCTGCGCACGCACGAGTCTGTTCACGCTTCGGAACATTTGGATCGCACGCCTCCCGGCGGGCTTCGTCTATACGCAACCCCATGGCTTCGGCTGAAATGCGTGCCTGGGTCAGAAAAAGTACCCCGCGTCAAGATGCATGCAAACTCTTGCTGAGGCAGGTTCCAGCCGGGCACTTTCGTCGAGGTCGTTAGAGACCTCACATCACATGAAACTTTTGCATTGGACCATGCAGCCGTCCTCTACCGATGGCCTCAAGCAGTCAGGGACAGTCTCTGTATTGGTTTCAGCGATTTGCAGGTCAACGCCTCTTTATTTCTGCTCATACCTCCGCTGATGTCTTTGAATTCTTTTGTCTGGCGCCTGGAAACCTCCTCTGTGCTCTTACGTGGGCGTAACTCGGATTTTCAAGCGAGCCTGTCTTGGGATGGGTCCCCCAAACCCTAATAAGAAAAGAGTGCGTGCAACTGTGATCAACTGTGCAACTTGCCCTCAAAAGATGTCTCTGGGAATCTGTCCGCCAGTCCGTGCTGCAGGATGGCCCTGGCCGCCGCGCGTGCGTCCTCTGAAAGGATTTAAACGGGTTGTCACACGGAGAGGCTTTTGAAGTTCACGCTGACGAGAGGACCTTTGCCGTAGACTTCTCGCTGCTGACAAGGCGCATGCAGGCGGCTGCTCTCTGTACTCGGCCGGACAGCGGCCTTAGCTTTCTCAGCTCATCTATCAGTCATTTCAGGTTTCCAGACTTAACATTGCAGGCCCAGAACATCTTCTAGACATCACTTCGCTCCGACGGCTAAAGATCCACCTTTGACGTGCATTGGGAAAACAACTCTGTGCCTCAAGGGTGGGCCGACATGATGGCCGCTTGATAGAAGGACGCAGAAGGGGGGGGGAGGGACGGGGGGAAGTGAATGGTGTTCAGGCGTGCGTCGGTTGACAGACGCGGCCCCCTATTTTCGGGGAGGCCTTGGCAACAGTTGAAGGACTAAGGATGTTGAAGGGCCCTTTGAAGGGCCCCGTTGAAGGGTGACTCCCGCGGCTGCAAAAGCCGGTGCAGGCGCGCTTGATTCGGCGCCTCCAGGACAACCGATAGGGGACGGCTTGGGCGGACACTACGTGGGGCTGTGTTGGCACTGTGTTTGCTGGCGGGGCAGCTGCCAATGGCCCAAGGCGCCGTCGGGTGCAGCTGGGCATGCGCTTCTACGTGGCCACTCGGCCTGAAACGAGAAGCGGCCCAGTAGCGTTTCATGAACTTTGCAGAGCTCATTGTCATTCGAGGCAGGAGCCCCTGCGATCCCACGTGGATCACGGAATGGACAAGCTGGCGAGCGCAATACATCCAAGCACTGGCGGGATGAACATGTAAACTAGAGTTGTTCCTGTTGCTGCGAACATACAAGTTTGTTCTACGATAAATGTAGTTTATGTCATTCTGCCTATGGCCTGTCCTCTTGTGACGCAAAAGCCGGGTCACACTGATGCTCAAATCGTGTGGAAGCCCCAGGGGATGACAGCCTTGTCCAAATCGGTGCGTGCATAGTTAATAGAGAGGGAAGAAAGGAATGGAACGAAAAGAAGGAAAGAACGACTTGTGTTTGTTGCGTTGGCTTGCCCCAACGTCAAAACTCCATCGGGAACGTAATGACCCTTTTTCCCGCTGGGCGCTCCTGGCTCACTCTGGCTTCGCAAGGCTCGTGAAGGCTACCAAAACCTGTAAGTTGCACGAAGGCGTTGTTCCATGGCGCAACATGCCCCCCCTGACACAAGCTCCAACACCCACGCCACACCCGTCCATCAGCGCCTCAGGGCTCGTTCGTAGTGCTTGTGCCAAGGGGCCATCCGGGTGAGAAGGACCCGGACAAAACTGTGACGAAACCAAAAGTCAGCACGAATCTAAACAGCATGCTGATGCCAAAAAGCCCTATGGGTCAAGAGGCTTCAATCGACGAAGAAGGCATCCTTCCGCAGCACCAAATAGCCATCTATCCAATGATCTGTGCCACTGGCTGCGCAACCGCTGCCTGTACCATGTACGAAAAGGTAAGACTCAGGTTTCGTGGCCCCAGACCAAACCATTGGCGGCTCCTTCTCCAATGCGAACTCGACACAGCCGGGGATGTCAATGCAAGTCGCCAGCGCGCAAGCCTGTTTATCAGGAGAGTTTGCACAAGGTGCCACAGTGCCTGGGCAGGTCCAGTATCCCCAACGGGGTTTACAAGGATCTATGTGCCACCAGCGGTCCACATACGCCATGTTACATTGGGCAGTGGCACCCATGGGTCCCGCTTCAAGCAGTCTGTTGACGCGCACGGCAACTGCCTTCTCTGATACAATGACATCCCTACCGTCCGTGCCCGCCGGGAAAAGCTCTGCAAAGTGCTGGAAGAACGAGTCGAACTGTGCCTGGACGTCCTTTGCCATCTGCAGGCGGGCCTTAATGTCCAAACCCCCCACGGCCATGGCTGCATCCTGAAGCTCATAGCCCAACCGGACTGCACCCATGAGCTCCCGCGTGAGAGCGAGTGCCATCGCGCGGTTGGGCCTCGCCTCAACTGGCCGTGCCTCACGGAACTTCTCCAACAAAGAAGAGGAGAACCCTGTTGGTAGGACGCACCGGAGGAGCCGCTGCAAACCCACCTCGCTGTCCACACCCTCTCCCCCAAAGAACTTCTCGTACGCCCGCGCTTGCACCACAACGTTGTGCACAAAGTGGCACTTGCAAGCCTCACTTTCATCCAGACAAAGGGAGCCTCTGCGGGCCAGGCCCTCCCGAAAGCGTCGATAAGCTGCATATTTGGCGACAATGTCTGAAACATACTCCATGCACTGCCGGTAGTGATCGCCGAAGTCCTGCTCCCGGAGAAAGTCCATCGTTTCTTGATGCCGGGCCGCGGCCCTGTCAGCCAGCTGCCCGATGGCGATCAGGGTCTCCTGCTGGAACTCCTGCATCTTGTCCATGAGGGCCTCTGTCGATTCCTGCAGGGCAGACTGCAGCTCATTCACGATCTCTGTTGTCTGGTCGGCCATTGCTTGCTTCAGCTCGACTGTCTGGTCGCCGATGGCATTCTTCACTTCGTCAATGACTTCTTGGTTGGACAGTGGCTCGGCATCAAAGATTGTACCGAGCACGTCGCCCACGATGGGAATGTTGGCCACACCAGGGATTGATGCGAGTGCGCCACCGAGGTTCATTGCGACGGTGGCGCCCATGCTAACACCTAGTTCCCTCAATGTGCCTCTACGGGAGATTTCCCGTGAGGCGTGCTTTTGAGTAAGGCTTGCGGAGCAAGTGCATTGGCCGCACGGGTGCTCTCGGTGTGGCATCGTGGAAATGCGGTACGCGGCCACTCGCACTCTATCTCCAAGCCTGTTCCCCTCGAAGACTTCTGCCTCACAATTGGAGTCGCTCGCCTTCTGCCAGCCCGATGGTACCGCGGCGAATGTCAAGCACTGCGCAGCCCCGCTCTCATATGCTTGCGGGTACTCCATGCCTATGTAGTCGTGCCCGTTGGAGACAGCATGGTCCGCGCAACTGTCCATGGTTATTCCGACCAGATGGCCATTCACTCGTGCCGCCCCTTCATTCATGTAGCAGCCCTGATAGGCGAAGGTGTACACGGTGTGCCCCACTCCTAGGGATTGTGCAATGCTGCTGCGCTGTTGAAGCAACATGGGTCCGACCTGCCGAGAGCAGTTGCCATCCCTGCAACTGTCGGCCAATGAGAGGGCCACAGCATTGAGGAGTAGGATCACTGGAACCATGGCCTCTCCGTGCATGGGGGGGTGGGTAGCTTTGAACCCTGTGGCATCCGGCAAGCCCTGTATGAAGCGACATGACTAAGCCATTGCCATATCTTTCAGCGATGCCTGAGGAGGTACAGAAGGATATTGGAGGATAGGGATACGAGATCTAGCCAAAAGCATAGGCGTGTTGATTTCCATCTCCTCGTTTTTACCAATTCAGGCTTAGGCCGTGCATCTGAGCGCCATTGCGCCCTCTTAGTGCCTGTACTTCCCTCAGGCATTGAGCTGGCTGTAGCCGCAACAAAGGTGTCAACGTGCTCGTTTATGGTCTTTTGCCGCATTAAGTCCTGTAGGGAAGTGTGACCAGCAGTGCCAATCATTCACGGGCTGACGTGCTTACTTCGCGTGCGACAAGAATGGAACTGAATTCAACCAATGGTGGTGGGGCGTGCACCTAGTAGTCAAGCGGAACATTTTAGAATCAAAGCACAGCGGCACAGTGCAGGAAAGTTGCTGCGGCATCCTTGGCAGCCAGAGCCACCTGGAAGGGGAGCCGGCCCTCCAGGGAAGCTCTCTTGGCAGCCTCACAGCAGATTTCAACGCACACTCTTTCATTCCAGGACTATCTCTCAACTCTGGACATTGGCTCTGCCAATGGCCTCAGTCGCGACCACCCGAGCAGCTTCTGTAGAGGCATCCCCCCAAAATGCTCTGCCTGCCTTGGTGATCTTAGCTTGTAAGTTCGATTCATTGATGACACAGACTTCAACAGTGAGCATGTACCAATGTGACCCTGTCGAGTTTGAGCGAAGTGTCTCCCTTGCCCATGGCGCCGTCCGCTGCCAAGCGCGCTCTGCTCCCCAGCACTTCGCTGCGCAATCTGCCGGTCGATACAGTGATGGCATGCACTGCAGCCGGAACTGCGGTCGCGAGCAAGGCATGGGTGCGGGACGTGTTGCTGGCAGCTAGTGCGCCAACAACTGCATCGTGTGCTGCAGTGCCCACCGCGACTGGGGAGGCTCCCTGGTTCGCTGCGTACGTGGCCGCCGCATCCGCGGATGCACGCATGGCGATTCTTGCTGCTGCAGGGGAGGGAATGCCTGTGGAAATCGCAGCGGTGCGAGCTGCTTCGGTCATCACTCCTGGAGGAGATCCTTGAGCTGCCAGTGCCGTTGATGCCGCTATCGCTGCCTTCTTGGCTGCTGGCAAGCTTTTATCCTGCCACAAGCTCCACCCAATGGCCATTCGTGCAGTAGTTCCAGCCTTATCCGGCCGCACACCGTGAGTCACTGCTTGCAGGGTGGATGCGGATGCGAGGTGGGCCACTACATCTTCAGGCAAACCCAAGTTCTGCAATAACTTCTTGCATCGGGCACGAATCGCTGCTGGCTGAAGTCCAAACTGAACATTTGCCTCTGCCATCGCCTGGGCAGCTGATTTTGCCGTGGACGTGTAGATGTCTACGGCTAGCAGGTCACCCTGGTGTGCAAAAGACTGCTGCACAATAGTGGTGCCATCTTGCAGCAGCTTCGCGATGGATTCTGTGCTCAGCCCTCTCCGAAGCGACTCCCTGACAGTAACGTCACCGAGAACTTTTGCAAAATCCCTTCCCGACATCGGTGCCGCGGTGACTGCCAGCTTGGCCTGCGCAATGGCTTCGCTCAGCATATTCCCAGCACCAAATCCTTCCCGGATCTCTTGCTGCAAAACCGCTCCGGCCGCAGACTCGGCAGCAAGATACAGAGCCTGTCGCAAAGAAAGGAAAGCCGAACTGCCGGCACCCAAGTTTGAAGGAATTGTCGCGGCTATTGAAAGGGCCAGGTTCTTCGCTGCTGTTCCGACGTCCTTTGCGCTCGCGAAGCCTGGAATGTATTCTGTCAGCGTTTCGACTGCAGTCCCGCAGATCAACGCTGCGTGTTCAGATCCTGTGGGGCCTGTAGCGTTGGCGGCTTCACGGGCTTGCCGAGCGGCAAAATCTTCGGACGTGCCCTGTGTGAATTTCTGCCGAATGATTGCACGCACCGCTGCCTCAGTGGCCACGGACTCCTTCAGAACTGTGCTCTGCGTAAACTCGCCTACTGCTTCTTTGGCAGCAGTTCCCACTTCAACAGGGGTTCCGAAGCTTGCGGCTTTGGCAAATGCAGAAGCCCTGCTGGCAATCTTGGCTGTTGAGAGGGTCGAAGAATTGCGTGCTCCAGCAGCCTTCAACGCAAGCTTGACTGCTGTCGATACTGCCTGCGGAGTGGCTCCAGAAAGTGCTACAGCCTCGGCCACTGCGGTGACACCCTTCAGAGACGCGTACCTGACAAAGGCCACTGGTGCACTGCAGGCAGTAAGCACGTTGCTTGCAGCAATATCGACTTCAAGTCCGCATTCCAACGGCGAAGCTGTTCGAGCACATTTACGAGCAACTTCTCTCGCCACATGCTCTGCACCCAGGATGGACTGCTCCCCAGGACACAAATTAAAACTTCGAAGAGCTGCGATTACTGCATCTGCAGCCTTTGACCTCGATGCTCCGGCAATAGCAGCAGCTTGTGTGGCAGCATCTGCTGCAGCTTGAAGTGGTGTGTCTGTACCTTTTGCGGCATCTGCAGCTGCCACTCCAATCTCCGTGCCGCGGGCAGCCGATGCAGCGGCCCTTTCAGCTGCCGCGAGGGCTGCCGCCTGTGCAGAGACGAAGCGTATGTGTGTGTCGCTGAGACTGGCGTCGCCTCCAACTCCAAAAAAAGCATGATTCGCCGCCATCATGGCACACTCGGTTGCCATGCCGATTGTGCTATCGTCTGTGGGCTGCCCGGCGTGGACGAGAACGCTCGCAGTTGATGCCGCCACTCTGGCAAGCTTGTGCCGCGTTGTCAGATGTGAGGAGTCGCGACTTATGGGGCGGAAGTGCTGCTTCATGCCGTTCGACAAATCCTCACAAATAGAGTCCGCTTTCCAGGATGTGGTCGCCCGGGCAACGATTCCCGCTATGAGCAGTTTGGTGTCTTTGTCAAGGGACTCCGTCGCAGGAATCGCATCATGTATTTCCAGCTTTGCTCCATCCCCCATGTCATGAAGGTAGCCGGCAAAAGGTACCTGCACGTGTGCCATGTCTGCCATGTCTGCCTTGTACGATGTACGAAATGCAACAGGCCTGGCCCATCTCTTCGGCTGCGGCCTGCGCCTTGCGTGCTCTGAAGTGGCCCTCCGCCCCCCCCCGCCCCCCCAACCCCACCACCCCCAACTTAAGGGCAATCTTTACGAACTCTACGAAGCCGTCCTTTCCGCAACAAAAACCGAATCATTGCCTCCGTCAGAGTTGCAGTCCGAACCGTTGCGGTTGGCATGCCATCCACAGCTGCAGCAGCAGCAAAGGCAGCAAGGCGAGCCTCACGCACGAGCAGCTGAAGAGGACAGTCTGTCACTTTGGCGGGGGGATGAGAAAGCATGGAAAGAACTCACCGGCGCAGCAACGTGGCAATCAGCATTTTTGGTGCTCTCTTTTTTCCGGCTGCAGGTGCATGCCTTGGCGCGATAGTTTTCATAAGGCCGTCGGAAATGGCTGCGGGGCAGGCTAAGAGAGCGCTCTCTGTAGATGCGAGAGCCTAGGTGAGAGCCTAAGACGAGAGCCTAGGGCAAGAGCCTCTACAGGCTTCCCTTCTCTTCTCAAACCGGCGGGCTGCAGCGCGGGCAAAGGCTGAAGAGGACCTCAGAGAGCGATGCAGAGCATGCTCACAGCAAATGCTGCAGCCCCCCAGCAGCGGCTCTAGACTTGGATTCCAAGACATCCGACAGATAAGAGACACGCTTCTCTCAACTAGGCAGAGAAAAAACACTCGATTTTCAGCCAAAAAAGACTGCAAACAGCTCTAAGTTTTTGCAGCTAAATTTCATACTTCTCTGGCGACGTCACTGCCAAACTGCAGCGCCACTTGGCCTGGAGCACTCCGTTGCGGTGCCACTCTGGTCTGCTCTTCACAAACTGCCCTCGTCACTCTGCCAGCCGAGTTGCAAAGGCAAGGCTGCCGAGGAAATCGCTGAGAAGAACGACGTCCTCTGTGCAGCATCATGCCCATGACTCATGATGCTCGACGGCTTCTCAGCGATCAGCCCCGGAATAGCCCTACATTGAGTATGAAGCTCAAGGATTAGGGGTGCGAGCTACATCCCAGACACCAAGAAAGTATGGTTTCCGAAAGTCGTTTTATCACGCTTTTGGGCAGCACATCGTAGAACTGAAAACCGCCAGGGCCATTGGGAAGGGGTTGTTGAACGTGTTGACTGTAGCTGCATGCTGTGTTTGGCTTTTGTATCAAACTTACTGTTTCACTGCATCGGCCAAAGACGAAGCAACAGCTTTTTAGGGTGCTTGCTGTTTGGCAGCAAGCAGGTGCACCAGAGTCGCCAACTCCCCAACTCCGGCTTCCGATGCCGCTGCTAGCTTCGTTGTGACCCCATTCATGCGTGTGCTAGCATGTCCCACACCCACCCACCCACCCACCCAACCACACACACACAGACACTCAAGCGCTCAAGCAACCTTCCTGACAGCCAATACTGGTACCTCCGATCTGCGAGGACACATCAGCTTAGACAGCGTAGCACCGCATGTTCACCTTCTTCTTTTCCTGAACCACATAGCGCTCCGGGAAGCACTGAATGCTGCTACACCAGCAATCGACTGATTCCTGATGATTCCACAATCTCTCTTGTGGTACCTGGTTCCTCTTCTGCATGCTATCCTGACCGTGGGGAGGTACTCGAAGAACTCTCGGACCTCGGCATTCTTTTCCTGCTTCCACATGTGTCTCAGCCCACAGACGAGAGAAGCCACCATGGCTATGAAGGTTGTTCCTACTGCTAGGAGTAGCATCATCGCTGTCAAGGTTCCTGTCAAGGTTCCTGGTTCAGACAGCTCCGCTACCATGTTAAAGAACGGGCTTTCCTAAAGGGTTTCCTAAACCACCACTGCGGCTCACTTTTCGCTTCACCGCTCTGCTGTGGTTTCTGTCCTGTCTCCTTTTGAGCCTGGGCCACAAAGTTGGTTCCTGGCTCAATCTGTCCATTCGTCTACACATACAACACTGTGTTCCTACTAGGCTGGAATGTTTAACAAAAACACCAAAACCCTTTCCACCTATAGCTACAGGGCCTCAGCACCGGCTACGCGACCATGCAAGCGTACATGAAGCCTGCGCCTGGACATGAGTTTGAACACATCAAATAAGGTTGAGCAAGACCGATGCACATCTGCTGACATGTGCCTCATGGAGGCGTGCAAATGACCACACTTCCGTTGAAAGGCGACTTCCCTTCATGAGACATACTTCAAACAGTTCCTGCTGGAACGCAGGTTCTTTGATGTCATCACAAGACCACGGGTCCAGATCGCGTGGCCACCCTGCTTGACCTCGCCGTCCAGCCATCTCTGGGCAACTTCTCTCCGGGGGTTGTCACCATGATATCCAGTGCAGCTTCGATGTGAGCCAAAATGCTGTTGGCAGACCCGCCGGCTGCCTATGGTCGCCAATCATGTTTCCGTTTAGACTTTCTTCGGCAGCTGTCGCCTGACAAGAAAAAGCAAGGACGGGGGAGATCAGTGGGCGCCACGGCTCATGCCAGTGTCCCAGGACAACCAATCCTAGAAGCAAAACAAGCGTCAGATCCAGGAGGAAAGACGGAAGCCAAAGGGGTTGCGATGGCAGTCTGCTGTCGCTGAAGTACATCATGCTCCTGAATACCTCTGATGTTTCAAACTGGCGTTGACATCCCAAGGGTGTCTGGGTGCATGAAGGTGCAATGACGATTTTTGCCAGACAGGCCAGACACAAGGAATGGCATGTGCAACCTTGATGAGATGATGCAAACATGAGGTAGGGTCCTGCCTCGCTGTACCAGACTCAGAGGAATGGTGCAACACGAAATGAAGTGGACAAATGAGGGTGAGGGCCCTGCCAGCTACTCTGTACAGAGTCCAGGCACAGACCAATGCAGGTACGTTTACCTGGGGTGTGGCGGGGAGCTTCGATGGGCAGAGCCACCCCCGCACCCCCTCTGCCCCCCCGCGCAAAAGAAATGAGGTCGACGGTTGAAACCCTTGGTTACAGGGTTGGACACACACAAGAAGCCAAGAAGGCCAAGGATTGCTCGTCGACCGTGCACGTGCACTTGTCGAAAAGGTTTTATTGCACCGGGCGTGCATAAGTACAGAAATCAGGGTTGGAACTGCATCGGCAAAAGAACGAAAATGATGTCAGGCCGAGTTTCAAGCCTAATGTTTGCCTGGCCTGGGAGTTCCAGTATTGTCCAGACCAAGACATGCTTGGAGAACAAAGGACGGGATCTACACTGCTCGAAAAAACGTCAACACCTGATGGCTGCAGGAGGGCAAGTCATAAAGACCTCTGATTTGCGCCTGCATACCACCGTGCAACAAACAACAAACAGCAAACAGCATCAACTGCCCTGCACATCATCCAAGTCTGCAGGATGGGTCCCTGCTTCGTCATGACAAAATCTGCAGGATACTGCACGGGCCACCGCGCCGCAGGCAGCACTCTGAAAGTCGTAGGGACAAGCCCTACACTGCCTGGAACACACTCAAGCAACCTTCCTGACAGCCAATACTGGTACCTCCGATCTGCGAGCCACATCAGCTTAGACAGGCTAAGCCTGCTGTCACTGAAGTACATCATGCTCCTGAAGACCTCTGATGTTTCAAACTGGTGTTGACATTGCAATCCCAAGGGTGTCTTGGGGCATGAAGGTGAAATGGCGATTTTTTGCCAGACAGGCCAGACACAAGGAATGGCATGTGCAACCTTGATGAGATGATGCAAACATGAGGTAGGGTCCTGCCTCGCTGTACCAGATTCAGAGGAATGGTGCAACACGAAATGAAGTGGACATGAAAATGAGGGTGAGGGCCCTGCCAGCTACTCTGTACAGAGTCCAGGCACAGACCAATGCAGGTACGTTTGCCTGGGGAGTGGGGGGGAGCTTCGCCCCCCTGCACAAAAGAAATGAGGTCGACGGTTGAAACCCTTGGTTACAGGGTTGGACAGACACACACACACACACAGACACAGACACAGAGACACACAGACACACACAGACACCAGACACACACAGACACACACACAGAGACACACACAGAGACACACACACAGACACACACACACACACACACACAGACACACACACACACACACAGACACACAGAGACACACAGAGACACACACACAGACACACACACAGACACACACACACAGACACACACACACAGACACACACACAGACACACACACACAGACACACACACACACACACACACACACACACACACACACACACACACACACACACACACACACACACAGACACACACAGAGACACACACACAGAGACACACACACAGACACCCACAGACACACACACACAGAGACACACAGACACACAGACAGACACACACACACAGAGACACACACACACACAGAGACACACACAGAGACACACACAGAGACACACACAGAGACACACACAGAGACACACACAGACACACACAGACACACACAGACACACACAGACACACACAGACACACACAGACACACACAGACACACACAGACACACAGAGACACACAGAGACACACACACACAGAGACACACAGAGACACACACACAGAGACACACAGAGACAGACACACAGAGACACACAGAGACAGACACACAGAGACAGACACACAGAGACAGACACACAGAGACAGACACACAGAGACAGACACACAGAGACAGACACACAGAGACAGACACACACAGACAGACACACACAGACAGACACACACACAGACAGACACACACACAGACAGACACACACACAGACAGACACACACAAACAGACACACACAGACAGACACACACAGACAGACACACACAGACAGACACACACACAGACAGACACACACACAGACAGACACACACACACAGACAGACACACACACAGACAGACACACACAGACAGAACACACAGACAGACACACACACACACAGACACACACAGACACACACAGACACGCACACACACACAGACAGACACACACAGACAGACACACACAGACAGACACACACAGACAGACACACACACAGACAGACACACACAGACAGACACACACAGACAGACACACACAGACAGACACACACAGACAGACACACACAGACAGACACACACAGACAGACACACACAGACAGACACACACAGACAGACACACACAGACAGACACACACAGACAGACACACACAGACACACACACAGACAGACAGACACACA